ACACACACACACACACACACACACACACACACACACACACACACACCGTGTTTCTCACAAAATAAGTCCGGGCCTTATTTTTTTTTTGACCCCCGAAAAAACAGCTAGGCTGTCTTTTCAGAGATGACTTAATTTCCTCCCCCACCTAGAGCGGCCCATACACACATACCTCACCGCGAGGCCGCTTCTATCGGCCAACAAAAGCTCCCCGAAGGCAGAGTCCCCAGCTGCTTCGGGGCGTAGCATGGCTGCCCCATGTCTCCTCACCTTTAGGCAGTCTAGGGCAATGCAAGCTCCCCAAGTGCCACATCGATCAGCTAGTAGAAGTGGCCTTGGGGCAAGCACACACACACACACACACACACTCCCCTCGCCGCGAGGCTGCTTCTGTCGGCCCGACAAAAGATCCCCGAATGCAGAATCCCCAGCCGCTTCAGGGCGTGGCATGGCTGCCCATGTCCCCGCGCCTTTAGGCAGTCTCTTTCGGGCGATGGAAGCTCCCCAAGTGCAGTCACCAGCCACTTTGGCTGATAGAAGCGGCCTCATGGCGAGGGGAGTGTGTGTATGCGCTTGCCTCGAGGCTGCTTCTACCAGCCTATCGAAGTGGCTGGTGACTGCACTTGGGGAGCTTCCATTGCCCGAAAGAGACTGCCTAAAGGCGAGGGGACACGGGCAGCCACAACATGCCCTGAAGTGGCTGGGGACTCTGCCTTCGGGGAGCTTCTATTGGCTGATGTTCTATCGGTAGATCAGGGTATTCTAGCCTAGTCTACCTGCAGTGCACTTCTAAAGGCAAGTTTTCTCCCACCCCACCCCCGCCCTTCCCTCCCATTTCTCTTCACCTCGTGTAGTTCTAACGAACGATGTGAGAAATGGCGGGGAAACGCATGATTTAAATAGGCCTAAATTTTGGGGGTGGGGCTTAATTTCACCTCATGCCTAGAAATCATGCTGGGCCTTCCTATTGGTGGAGGCTGTATTGTTGGAGAAACACGGTATATATATATATTGATTTTTTTATAAAAAAGAGCAACTTTTACCCAAAATCAGGCAAAGCAGGCAGGCAGATTGAGTTGCTCACAGAATCACAGATTCATTCAGAAAGCTATCTATTTGCCATCAGCTAGCTCAGTCTGTCACATAAAATTTGCTTGCAAGCAAACTCACAAAATTAACTCACAACACAACATGCATGTAAATATTGAATTTTTTATTTAAAAAAAGAGCAACTTTTACCCCAAATCAGGCAGGCAGATTGAGTTGCTCACAGAATCACAGATTCATTCAGTGATCTATCTATCTGCCATTGGCTAGCTCAGTCTCTCAAATATGCTTGCCGTGAGTCTGCACTGAATTTGCTTGCAAGCAAACCTTCAGCCCTAAGGGAGGTTTGGCTGTACTTAAAAGCAGAGCTGAAGATCTAAAGACTAGCTTGAAAGCAAGAAATCCATCCATTTCCTGCTTCCTAGCTAATCTAAATCTCCAGGCACAGCAGAACAGATGATGGTCGGAAAAAGGAAAAATAGAAATTTAGCAGGCAAGTTTACAGAGTAAGGAGTAAATGGGTGGGGAGGGTTCCCACGGGCCATGTGGGCGGTGCAGCGCAGCCTGGATTAATTGCTTTGGGTGTGTGTGCTCTGGGGGTGAGATTTCTCTGCGACCCATCAAAATTTTCTCATTGCCCACCGGTGGTCTATAGTGTACCTTTGAAGTCTTCCAAGATATATAACAGAACCATAAGGAGTAAACAGCCCCATTCAGATTCTGATATAAATTCTAGCCTTAATCTGATAGCAAAGGATTTTTAAAAAAATCTAGTTCTTCTACAGCGCTCCACAACTGATGCCCCACTGGATTTTCAATAGCCTTATTCCCAAACAAAAACTTGGGAGACTGGCATCTAATATGGCTAGGTCCAAGAAACAGGTACATTGCTTGAAGGAAACATAGAAAAGTTTCCTTCAAGTCTATTGACATAACTTCCTTCTCTAATAATATTACTGGTCCATTTCCTGAAGGATGGACATGGTTTAAACCATAGGTCTTATCCATTTCATCAGAGTCTGCAGGACAAAAGGAATCTTATTTAATAGATGCTGCCAGTTATTAATTCATTTAGAATCAAAACTCTGACAATGATGTCTACTTGTAAAGTATATGTAAAAAGACAGCTTCACCTAAGGAAATTTGAAGCTTTATCAGTGCCCACTGGTTGGTTACCATCTGACATAATTATGATGGAGAAACACTGATGGTCTCTGGCCTTATCACTACACTCTGGATCCATGATGGCGAATCTATGGCACATGTGCCAGACGTGGCACGCAGAGCCATCTCTGCCAGTATGTAAGCCGTCGCCCCAGCTCAGTTCCACTGCATATGCATGTGCACCTCCTGCCAGCCAGCTGGTTGGGTATCTGCCACATGTGGGGGGCACATGTGGGAGATGTGCATGCATGCACAGGGGGGCTGAGGGGAGCATTGGGGGGTCACATGTGCATGCGGGTGGAGCGCACGCATGTGCAGGGGAATGGGGAGCGTGGGGGGGAGGTTCGTGCGTGCATTGCATTATGGGTGCAGGCATGTGTGTGCATGCACTTTTGACATGCAATGATGAAAAGGTTAGCCATCACTGCTCTAGACTGAATATATGCTCAATTACTTTTCATTGTCTTCCATTAGTGCTCCAGATGTCATCTGTGGCTATCTTTACAGGGTTTCTCAGAAATCAAAATGATCTGCAGAATTAGCTGTCAGAGGCAACTCAGAGGAAATTTTTGACAAGACCTTGAACTGATTTTTAATCC